TGCTGGATTGATTCTGCAGCTGTTGTTGCCTTTGACCAAACTGACGAGTTTACTTGGCAAAGGAGATGACCATTGTGTCTGTGTGTGGGATCTGGGAAGGGGCGTGTGGGTCCGAGGGCAGCTCTGGGTGAAAGGGCCCATTCCCACGCTGCGCCAGGTGGCAGCCCCACACCCTGGAGGTGTAGCCTTCCCCCTGGAAGACAGAAAATTCACACCCTGTGTTTGCCATTACCTGGGCATTTCATGAGGAGACAGAAGACAACCAGTATGTCTCGTGTGTGCATGCCGCAGCCACGCAGCCTGGAGATGCAGGCACACGTGGTTATAGGTGTGGCCTAAGATCTACAAGAACACCAAAGATGGGGAGCACGTGACGGGGAATGGTGTGCTGCCACAGGACATGCAGGCTTACTGTGTACCCGCGGACAAGTCGCCTCTCTATGCCGTTGCTCGGGTGCCCAGGACAAAGGAAATAATACGCCTCTCTGGCCTAGTCGGTCACGCCTCACCTCTCTGGGTCTCGGTTTTCTCACCTGTAAAATGGGCGTGCCACACCTTAGAGTTCCCTCCAACTCTGCCATTCGCGATCCTCCAGGCCCCATCAGCCCACCACACACGTCCTGAGAGTGAAATTGTGCTCCATAACGAGAGTTTATTTTAAGCTTGTTTTTAATTTATTACTCTCCACTTTAGTGTTCTCCTCCTAGAATTACTTCCTGGATAACAGCGTCCCCGTTTGGAACTGGGCCCATCATTGCCTCCCCGAGGCAGACCTTACCGCCATGATCTATGGCAGGTCCTGTTTCATTTACTGCCACCCTTCATGGAGACGAGCTGATTCAGGTCACTGCTCACCTTATAAATCCATCGTTTCTGGAACTCACTCCCCTGCTCAGTTTAGGATCATTAGTGAATTTAATCAATGCAGACTTCATTTTCATCAAGATGATTAATAAACATAATAGGAAGTCCAGGCCCCTCTGGGGTATTCTGCCTGATGCCTCCTTACCCCTTGAGGATGCGCAATAATTATGCTCAGCTTCCTGTCTACCCGGCAGTTTTGCTGCCGCATTCATTCCCTGTACACAGCCTCTCCTCCTCTCCCTCCGTCTTACAGGTGGCACCCTGGAGCCCCCCGTCCATTTGTACTCCAAGGCACAACTCAGATATCATCTCCTTCCATATTACTAAGTCCACCTCCTTTATTTTAAGGTCAGGAATTGGGGGCCCAGGGATATCAAACAGTTCAGTAGTTATGAAACAGCCAAGAAGCGGCTTTTAATGGATAATTTTGTCAAATAGGTGACATCTGAGTCAATTAGTGGAGTGGGTTAGATTCAATTAACCCATTATAGCCCAAGGTTATTAAATAAAGAGTGCGAGGCAGGGTGAGCTTTGACAGATGGGAAAGAGGCTGGAGGAGACAGGACTGCAGTGCGGCTTGAGCGGGCAGGTCCCCGGAAGGTCCAAGGGCTGGGGGTGGCACTCAGGGGAGACAGCCAGCAAGCGTGTGCCCTCTGCCTGTCTGGAAACTCCGCCACAGGTCGCCTGCTGTGCTAGGATTTCTGGAGCAAGGACACTTTTTTCTTTAAATGGAAATAGCAGTTTCATTTTTTAAAAAAATTTATTTATTACTATTATTATTAGTTTCAGGTGTACAAAACAATGCAATAGTTATCCTTTTTACCCCTCACAAAGCAACACCCTCTTCCCCCCACCCCCCCATCCTGATATCATACGTATCTATTACAATTCCATTGACTCCATTACCACACTCTACTCCACATCCCGTGACTATATATGTATTAAATTATAGTTGACATATAATATTATTCAACAGCAGCTTCAGATGTACAGTGCAGTGGTCAGGCCTCGACACCGATGGACCTAGAGAACATTATGCTAAGTGAAATAAGTCAGTCAGAGAAAGACAAATGCCATATGATCTCGCTTCTATGTGGAATCTAAGGAACTGAATTACGAGTAGTGTAAGCAGTTTCATTTTATCACTACTCGTTATCACCTGCCCTTCCTCAACTGGCTTCTGGGCCTTATCTGAAGAGCTAACTTCCCGCTTTTCACGTCTTTCTCCTTTTTAAACTTTCTTAACTTCCACATTCTTCTGTTCCTTTATTATCTTTGCTATCTCCTGTTTACCAAAACGCTGGTTGTAGGGAAGCCCCTCACTCCCCGCCCCTCCGTGAAGCTCAAATGCCACACGTGAAACAAGCAATTAGGAAAATAGGCTTCCTACAGCTCTGGCCTTCCCCTCGGAAGAGAGTGTTGTGTGAGTCCAGCCTGCGTGTGTCCCCGGCTGTGTCACTGGTCAGGCTCAGTGGTTCTCAGTCGTGCTTCTCGGGGGCCAGGCTCACCCACAGTCGCAGGCCTTGCCCCTCACACGAGTGGCCTTCGCGGCGACCTCACCGAAGGCCAGGATCTACTCGAGAAGAGTACAGGTGCCAATTAAAATGCATTTTAAAGTCAGATGTCTTGAGGTTTGAGATGTGTGGCACAGGTACCCAGAGAAGCAGGACTAGGGTCACCAGGTCACTCAGCGTGAGGTCAAGCCCACAGGGGTGCCGGCTGCCTGCCAGACAGCACCTTCCACAGAAAGATGGTCGCTCGCAGGAAATCCTGGCCCTGGCTTTTCTGTAACAGTTTGGGGAGAAGACGGGGTGTTTTTAGGGTCACGTGGCACATCCTAGGCTCTGTAAGGACTTATCAGAAGTAGATTGAGGCAAGAAATCAGGGGGCTTGTGAGGAAGTGGGCTGGGATGGAAATAAGGTTCCACCTATAGGAATAAACAGGAAACTCGACCCCTTTTTCCTCTGACCTGACATTCATGGGCTGTGAATGGGTGAGGAAAGCCGCCCTGGAACAAAAGCTGGAGGGGTCAGAGCCACCTGTAGTCCCTCTAACCATCTCCGTGACTTTGCACCTTGCAGGGTCCTGGAGCCCCACCCTCCGGCCTGACTCCCCTGCCCACTCTTTCTTGCTTTCCTTTCTGCCTCCCCCTCCCCTTCCCTTCCCTTCCCTTTCCATTTACTGCAGTCTTTCTTTTCAAATCCTCGCCCTGTGGTGAAACAGAGAGAAAACCAGGAGAGGGAAAGGTGAAGGAAAATATTGAAAAGGGCCCAAATCGGGTTTCCCTGGGTTTCTTAACGTCCGCCTTCTTCTGCTTCTTAACTTCTGAGCAAATTTTGCAAATTCTAAAGCTTTTGTGTCTTAAGAGATGGCAGCCTCTGGGTCAATAGTGACCAAAACTGGTTGAAAACTAAAAAGTGGACCCAAAAACAACCTGAAAAGCCCACTTGGGCTTACCTGACACTCCCATAACTGAGGGTGATTCTGAGCGTCCTCTGCAAACGGGGGATTTCAGGTTGGTGAACAAGGTAATTGGTTCAGTCAGCTGCTTCCTTTCACCAAGGACCCTGAGGTTTGGAGGCGGCAGGCCCACCTCACCCCAGTGGTGGTCCGCACTGGCCTGGAGGGCCAGCAGGGGGCTTTCAGAGTCTGTCCCACATGGCAGGAGCAGGGGTTCCCGCTGCGCTGTTGGGCTTGGCTACCTCTAGAGATGTCCCCCTGCCCTTTCCTGTCGGAACTCGGCATCATGATGGGTCTGCCAGCTTAGAGAGGGGAGGGATTCTACTGCTGGGTCAGGAGTTTGCTAGGCATGCTCACCTAGTTAACTTGTGCATCTTCAGGAACACTGGCTTTTCCTAATTACACAGATTTCTAGATTATGAGAACACAGATGTGCAGAGAGGGTAAGGAACTACCCAGAGCGACGGACCTAGAAAGTGCTGGGCCTGGGAGCAGCCTCAGGGTTGGCTCTACGCCTCTTTCTGATGCTTTGTCACCCCAGGGTCATGGTGCCAGCCAGGGAGACTGAGGCAGGGGGGTGGGCAGTGGGGGCTGGTGGCTGTGAAAGGGAACTCTGCCAGCTCATGACCCAGTCAGCCTCCAAGCAGACCAAGTGATGGGGACAGTCCCCGTGATCTTATCAGGCTATCCGATCTGCAGGTCCCTTCCCCAATTGTCCACAGTTCCATCTGAACACAGATCCGGGAGGGTTCGGCCATCTATGCCCCTTTCTGTTTGGTAGCGTCTGCAGTATTGGGTGACTTTCTTTCCTCTCCAGACCCGTGCTTATTACTCTGTGCTTTAAGGGTTCTGAGCGATTTGACAAAGGCCCCGGTGGCAGAGCTGGGACTACGTAGGGTCCAGGCCTCAGTCTTTTGCTCCTTCAGGGGCCACCATCCTAACCTCCTGCACACCCCGTGCTCATCACCATATATACATGCCGGGTCATAAAACAATGACAGGACTCTCATTCGTAGGCTTACTCTCGAGGTCAAATGGCTAGATGTCGAAAACAATGGAGGCTGAAGGCACCAGAAACCAGAGAGCTGAGCCCCAGGTTGCTGATGTCTGAAAAGCATCCAGGAGTGTGGAGGGCTGAGAGGCGGGGCTGAGTAACTTCCTCTTTCTAGAGCTTATTTCTGCAGAACCAAAGAGCAGTGTCCATTAAGTTCTTGAAAAGAAACATCTGTGGTTTCTGTTTTAAGGGCAGGAAAGGCCTTCACCTTGAGTCAGAGAGAAGGTTCAAGTTACCTGGAAATACATTGTTCTTAAGAAAATCTCCAAGGCCAGAGTCTCCAGAATTCAAATTACAGATACATTTGGGGGGACCCCCCAACTTTTACAGTACTGACATTCTTACTCACTTTTAACTCGAAGGATAAATACTGTCAGCAGGAAGTTTTTCTATCTTTACTGGAATAAGAGTAAATGCAATCTTTAATTCACTTCTTTATAACTGACTCAGTTTTTTCATGTTAATAAATCTCAGAGCCCTAAATAGTCCACACGTCATTTCCATTCCACAGTGAGTAGGCGAAAGCTTTCCCTGGCACTGGATTTACCTGCGAGGTTATGTTTTCTGCGCAGTACAGTGACCTTGGCTCTGTTCTCTGGGGGTTAGCTCTGTTCTCAACTGGCTGCAGGGGAGTAGTTCGAAGTCCCACCGGGACACCGCCGAAGCCAGACACGGAGAAATGACTCATCTCCCCACGCTCTCTGAGTGGCTGCCATGACTTTGGGTCCCACGTGTGTCTTGCATGCACCAATAACTTCATTTGATTGAATGAAATCAAATCAGTTGACGCTTATATTTTTGCTAATTCAGCAAGAATCTTCGCTTATCAGAGTAAGAGCTGAAGCAAATAAGTAGAGAGTCGTTTAACTGAAAAGATTTTTGTAATCATGGGCAGAAGTAAACGGTGCTATTATCAGGACTTGACATATCAGGCTATGGGGTGTTGCACAGTGTGAGGGGTAAATGGGTCCGAGTGTGTGGCCCTGATAATATTTACAACACGGCTCATTCATTCTGCAGGACCCAAACCTGACCTGTTTAACCGAAATGTATGCAGGATAACTTTTTCTGCTGATGTTCCCCTTGCTAAATACTTACACCACGTATGTGAGTCTGGACTGCCTGAATGTTGGGGTACCTATGTCATGGTGAAGTGTGGAGTGGTGAGTTTCAGAGATGGGGAGATGAAGCTGGCAGAGCCCCTTATGCAGGAAACCTGACGGGGAAATGAAGTGAGACGGTCTTTGATTTGATGGCGTTGGTTTGTCCTGTTGCTCTTTATATTAGCTCTGAGCACATGCAGTGAAAACTCGGTTTAACAGGACGCTTGGTTACAATCCACAGAACTGACAATGAATCCTAGAACCCCTGAGTACCTGTGGGATTTGGGGAAATAAAAGGTTTGCTCCTCCGAGGCGCTCTTTTCCATCACTTTGCACAGTGTGGCTATGGCTGCTTGTAAAATAGGTGTAAATACACTCAACTCTTTAAAATACTAGGCCACAGGTCTTTCATAAACTGATTCATTCCCGTACCTAGGACACGCCAGGGGAGATGGTAGTGGGTGAGGCCAGCCCCCTTCAAATGGACGCAGAGCCTGCACACCTAGCTGTGCCCAGCGGTGGGGACCCACAAAAATACAGGCTGCCCTGCAAGGCAGTGGTGTCCGGGGGGTGATGACACTCAGGAGGGTAATCAACGACAAAGCGATGCTTAGGACGCATTGAGTGACGCCCGTGCAGTGTGTCCTCGGCTGGGGATGGCAGAGGTAGAATGCCACCTGATCATGTTAGGAGCATGACTTGGCTCATCCTGGGCTGGGCTCCCAGCCCACCTCCCAGCTGTGTGTCCTCAGCAGACTTAGCCCCCCCCTTCCCCCAACACACACACACACACACACACACACACACACACACACACACACACACACACACACACACACCCCTGCCCTGTCTGCTCTTTTCTCCACCTGGGAAGCGAGAGCAGCAGTGCCCATCACCAAGCATCGCTGGGAGAAGTGAATTGAGAATGTACGTTAAGTGCTTTGCCAAGTGTCTGGCACTGTGAGCACTCAGGAAAGGCGAGCGCAAAAGTCGGTTATAAAATAAGCTATTCCGTTACTTCTGGTTACTGATGACTTTTATGTATTTATTTCTACACTTTGCTACAACTGTCACACTGCCAGCAATGCCAAGTATACGCCTTTTCTGAGACTGGTTTTGTTAACGGTACGCGGACGTGAACTGATGATGACCTGGATTGAGTGGGACTCGAAGGTGTTGGACCATGAGGCATCTGAAGGGCCCGATGTTTCAAGTCCCTCGTTTTTACAGGTGAGGGAGCTGAGGCCCAGATGCTGCCTTCACGGCAAGCTGGGGGCCGGACCCACGTTGCCAGGCGAGGCTGGGCTGGCTGCGTGACACGGATCACGCTTCTCTAACATTTATGATTGGGTTTGGCAGAACGATGCAAACGAGGAAAGGAGGCCGGGCTATGACAATAGAAAGGACCACGGTGACTTCCAAGGATCCCAGCTGGGGACATGGGAGAGGGGGCACCAGATGGGGAGACAGTGGGCGAAGTCGAGAAGCCAGTTTTATGGAAAGAAGGCATGAGTTTGACTGCAAATGTCCTCGCTTTGAGACACATCCCAGTGGGTCTCACCTCTGGGCTGTAGAGGGTCTAGACCTGGAGTCGCATGTCACACGTGGGCCAGGAGCAAAGATCTGGGAGAAGGCGGTGGGGGATGAAAAGTCAAAGCTGTGCTGAACAGACGTCCAAGTTCAAAGAGGAGGCCCTGGTGGGAAGTGCTGCAGGGCCAGGGCTGAGCGGAGAGGGCCAGCTGGCATTAAAAAGGGGAGAAGGAAGGACACGCCACTGCCAAGGGAAATATTTGGGGAAAAGAGCCAGTGCCTTGGTTTCCAGGTGGAAGCGACCATCAAGTCTGAAGTCCAGGAGGGAGGTCAGGATGCAAAAACTTGGACCAAAAACCAAGAGCCTTTCACATGCGAATGGGAGGGAGGCACCCGTGACTAAGAAAGCAGTTTCTGAGCTGGGGGGAGGGAGCAGCCTGAACCCCCTCTTCAAGACCTGAGGCTGGGACATAAAGCCAGAAGGTATTTGATGACAGTTTGGAGAGATGGCAGAACAAAGTGATGGATTATTCTGGATAAAGGACGCCATGAATATTTGAAAGCACAGCAAAGTGATGAAGGGGGAGAGATTTGGGGAGGCAGAAAATAAACCCCGACTAAGCGTTCTCAGGAGGCACAAAAGCATAAGACCAAAGCAAAGCTGGGATCTCCAGCATGACATCCTGCAGACATCACTCCCTTGTGATGCCTTGAATGTTTGGGTTTGAAGTACTTGTTTGGAGTTTGGGGAAGTTTGAGGCTATTTACACAGACTTAAAAGTCCCACAGACACTTCTCATTTTGTAGAAGAAACCATTGCCAGCCAATTGCGGGCTGGGGCCTGCTCCTGGAGCAGCGTGGTTTCAGCGCCCCAGTACTCGGCACCCCCGTCCTCCCATCACAATTACCTGTGTCATTTACTTGGTGCTGGTTTTCCCTGATGGCTGGACTCTGGACTGTAGGGAGGGAGGCCCACGTGTGCTCGCCCTGGTCGCCCGTGTCCAGTGCCCAGATCACAGTGGGAGCCCAGCACATACTGGTTAACTAGGTGAATGACGGAAGGGACAGTGAGTGGCTCCTACCACCGAAAGGAGCTTCCTCGGGTTTGCATTCTCCTCTGTAAGTGAGTCAGGCAGCTTAGCAAGCACATTACACCATTCGGAGTAAATGACCCCTGAATTTTCTGGAATGCGTTTCCAGTACCTTAAGAAAAATCACTCCCTCCCGAAGCTGTCATCAAAGCTCAAAGAAGCATCTGTCCCTGAGTGCAGCTCAGAAGCAAATCTAGCTAGAGTAACGACGCATGCAGCACAGTCACCCTGCCTGCCGTTCGCGTCTACCTTCCTACCTGTGAAATGAGGTCACGGGTAGGGGTGTTTCGAGGATTGCTGAGGTTGTGAAGCATTACAAGCAGAGTGTGATGCCATTATTGCTAACTGAGTATCATCCCATACTTTACTTCCTGTAAAAGTTGAATGCCCAACTTCGGAAAAAAATATTTTGGTTGTAACACAGGTTACTCAGTAGGCTTATATTTTTGTCGCTTTTCCCTCTAAAACCTCACGACTCAGCAAAAGCTGATAAGCTCCAGGTGGCATAGCACAAAGGAGGTACCCCTGCTGACTAATAATGCTTTAGGGTGCAAAGTGGCCCGATGCCATCATGTCACTTCACCTTCACATCAACTTTGTGAGACGGATGTTATCAGCCCATTTTGCAGATGACAAACCCCAGTCTCAGGAAGGCTCAGCTACGTGCCAGCATCACCCAGCACCTGCGGGTCCAACCCCAGTTTTCTGATGCCTCAGGTCTCATCACTTCCCTTGTTGGTCACGGATTCTAGCTCTGATTTCTTTCCTTTTTTTTTTTTTTTCATCAGGAAATGATGAGCCAAAGCCCTGGACAGAATGGTTTCTGGTTGTGCTTATGGCAACAATCTGCATCTTATTCATCTTATCACTCACCTGTAGGAGGTAGGTATTCGCTATATCTGGGTGCCCCCGATGGGCTCTGCATATTGACTTTTTACACTTTTGCCGGCCATCCACTTGGGTTCTTGTTATCAGGTACAATTTATGTTACTTTTATGTCATCTGGGCAGCCTTTCCAAGATGAGTGTGGACCACAGAGTGAGACACGCCAGTAGGTGATTTACAGAAGTGACAGAGACAGCATCGGTCCCCGGCCATTACACGTCCCTTCTAGAATCTGTCCACAGTCCATTCGTTTCTGTGACGGGTTTTATATCCGTGTTCTTTTGCTTCCTTATGGCCTGCCCCTCAGCACTTGGCTGCCTTTGTTGAACACCCAGCACACACATTTTACATCTCAGCTAGAGGGAGGCAGCCCACTGGGGGCTGAAATCACTCCAATTCATGCCCAGTACTAACCCTGGTGATAAGGTACCAATTCTTACCCCAGCCATTGGGTCATCCGGCCTTGAGTGGCTAATTGCTCTTAGGTCAAACACAGATTCTAGAAATGGGACACAGATCTGGTGACCCACCCTGGAGCCTGTGAACAGCCCCATAAGAACGCATTCATTAGCATTCAGTATAGCCACTTAGGAGGCTTAAGAGCCATGTTCCTCCTTAGCCCTTGAATAATTTAGATGTTTATTTGACACAGCTTTACTGTTACAAATGTTATATTCAGATAGCACCCATGGGCCAGAGGGGGGCAGTTCAAAGGGTAGGGAACACCAAACACACTCTGTGAGCCAGTGCAGGGGGGAGAAGGCGTGCCAGCCAGCACTGTAGGGAATGGCTGGGCACCCTGCCACACACATGACATAGACCTTCCGTTGTCAGGAATTAGGCCTGGTAACAGGCGCCAACATGGAGCAAATGCCATTTTGTGTTTCTTAGATGATTGAGGAGCCACGTCGGAGCCTTGCAGTCCCCCCAAGGTCTTCAGTTATTGTTACAGAGTAGACATTTGGAAGTCTTGGTCAATAAGGACTCGAATATACAAAACAGCAGGTCCTGGAATTAACTAGGTCAATTTTTAGAGTAGTATTTAAGGGCAAGAAAGGATGCCTTTGCTCACCTAATTCCCTCTTTGATTCTGTTTTCAGATGTCACTTATGGACCAAGTTGTTTCCACCAGTTCCAGCACCAAAAAGTAATATTAAAGATTTCGCTGTAACCAGTAACTATGAGGTAATGTTGAAGGTTCTCAAGCTACAGCCTATCTGCCCAGGGTTGGGTCCCCAGGGATCTGCCGTTGGGTTACCGGTGTTCCGTATTCTAAGGCAGGGTCTTTACCCAGGAGGCCGGGCTTTCTGTGGCTCCAGTCCCCCTGCTCTGATTGTTTCATCATATATTGGAAAGGTCCTACTCAATTTTGAGTGTCCTCATCAGTCAGACTTGAGTTTGCTATCAGCCATCTCTTAACTGACCTTGGGTAATTTCTTCTACCCCATGAGCCCTGACTTCCTGTTTTGTTGAGTAAGGACATAGACGAGAGGCTCCAATATGCTGTTTAGTTCTAACACCTTAACTCTTTCACTGCATTCATTGATCTTAATATTTTCAAAATGTGTCAAAAATCCACAAAAAATAAAAAGTTGATATTTTGACTATTTTATGCATTTAATAACATTTTTAGCTGCTTTGCACATAAATAACATTATTTTTATTTTAAACCTTTGTTATATGGTAATAAATTTACCATTATGTTGAATTTTAGCAAAAAAATACTCAAAACATACTAAGTGTTTTGTATACTAAATATACTCAATTAGATTTGAGTATAAATTAGAATCTAATGGCATTGATGACATAAAAAATTTCTTACAAAATATTACACAATATGGCACACAAAACATCTTTGTTATTGATAGTGCAAGCCACAGGAAAACACATCTGAACATCACAGCAAAAGAAATTAAGAATCTGTTTCTGCACATGGGTACCCTAATCAATAAGATTTTTCAGAGGAAATTTTCCTAGTTCTATAGTATAAAGAACCATAGAGAAAGCAAGTGATTTCCCCAGATATGCATTTTCTTGGGTCCTTTTCACCATTCACTCAGGCTTCACCGAATGCGCTCATGTATAACTATCCAGTCGTTCCATTGTCAGGTAGAAAAAAATCACTTTCCCCAGTGAACCGGCTTGACAGCTTTGTCGAAAATCAGTTGTTCATATACGTGTGGGTCTCTGTCTGGACTATGTATGTGGTTTTATTGATCCATTTGTCTAGCTTTATGTCAATACAATACTGTCTTAGTTATTGTAGCTTTATTGTAAACCTGGAGACCAAGGGGGTATAAGGCTTCCAAACATATTTTTTTTTCAGCATTGTTTTTCTTATCCTAGGTTTTATTTCTTTATAAATTTTAGAGCCAGTTTATCAATTTCTACCAAAAAGGCTACTGGGATCTTGATCAGGATTGGGTTGTATTACAGGTTAGTTGGGGGAGAAGTGACATCATAACAACCCTATCGAGTCTTCTGTTCTATAACCGTGACACGTTGCTCTATTTGTTTAGGTTTTCTTTAATTTCTCTCAGCAACGCTTTGTGAGTTTCTGCATATAGTTACGGCACATCGCTGGTTAAATCCGTCCTTAAATGGAATGGCTGTTTAGATCAGGGGTCAGCAAACCTAGATAGTAAATATTTGAGGGTTAAATGGTCTAGTCAATGCTACCTTCATTGTGTGAAAGCAGCCATAGACAGACAATATGCACAAGAATGTGCTGGGCTCTGTGCCGATAAAACTTTATTTATACAAACAGGCACCAAGCCAGGTTTGTCCCACAGGCCGTAGTTTGCAGGCCCCTGATATAAATCATGCAATTTTCTTAACAAATTTTGTTTTCTCTCTAACAAAGCACTCAGGATTGGATGAAACAACCGGTGACTGGTTGAAGGGACAGGAAAAGGTTGATGAAACAAACATTCACCAAAACGGATTTCAATAAGCTGTGACCTTTGTTTAGAGTTTGCAGTTTGGGGGTTTGGAGTGATTACAGACAATAGCAGTTACTGACCCACTGAGGCTGGCCAAAGAATCCCCATGCCCTAAGTTCCATGCTTGCTACCAGGGGAACAGCCCGTTTGCTCTTAACCATAGCTTTTCTGGAAGGACAGGGCCCCGGGGTGCAACTGTTGTTGTGGTTCATCCGAGCTTTTGCTGTCAGTCTGTCCTCCCTCTAGCCGACTCACCCGTGAGAAGCTGCGGTTGATCTAAGCAGCTGGCTGAAGCCATTTGTCCTGCCTCACGATGGGACATCCTAGGGCTGGTGTCTCATTTTGCCGCAGGGCCCCCAAAGGCTGCCTTCAATATCCTGAAGTCGGGGAAAGATACTGGCTTAAGAGCTTATTGTATAAGCTTGTGGTTTGTTGTTAATTAAAATCAATCCACGTGTGCAAACTAACAACTTGGGGTGCACAAGCTGGTCCCAGAATAAGCCAAAAGTTAACCTCTGAGCACAGCACGCCAGGCTCCTCGGGGCCCTGTCATCTCACATTGCAGAGTCACTGAGACCTGGAGGGGCGGTGAGGGAGGACACGAGCAGGTAGAACTGGGAAAAGGAAGGGCCGCCCGCTGCTGTGTGTCCTGCAGCCGAGGCTTCCACCTGGGAGAACACGGGGCCAGAGCACAGGTGGCCACGGCTGGGCCCCCATGGCAGTGCCTCAGCCTCTACCTCCAAAGGCGAAGCCTGGCCCACCCATTTTCGGGCCTCTGCTACAAGGATGACAAGGGGGCCCCTTGGTGCTGTTGGCAGTGACGGTCTGCAAACCCCTGGGAAGGGTTCGGTTACTGGGAACGGAAACCCTTCACTTGTAATGACGACTTGTGCATCTGAGCGTGGCTGGGGACCCAGCCCTGGGACTTGAGGGTGGCTGCCATCTCAGAGCTCTCACTAAGCAACTGTTTGCTTGTCCACACCTAAGAAATCATAACATTCAAGAGGCAGATACTTGGTGGGGGAGGGGAGGGACAGAAGAGGGGATAAGTTGGCCTTTAGCAATAAAAAGAGGGCTTATTGTAACAAATCTCATCCTGAAATTTTGAGTTGTTAGAGACTGGTTTCCAGCCATTCTTTATAACCAGAGGGGGTCCATCCCAGAACTGAGTGGACCACAGACTATTGAAGGATGAGGGGCACAGGCCGCGTCCGGCGTACCCATCGGACGATGCAGTGTTCAGTGTAAATATTAATATTAAAAATGGGCTGGGTGAGTGAATGAGGAATATGGTCTCTCACAGGCCGTGTTATTGTTTTGTTGAAAATTTTCTAATTAATATCGACATATTTCTAATCACCAAAACTGGACATAACACATGTAAACTATGGGAGGAATATGATGGGATTATTAAAAATGCAGCCAAGGATCAATATAACAATAGAATTGAAAATATTATATGATGTTACACAGAAATAAACCGATTTATGAAGCTGTTTACCCATCTGACTTCACATAACTGTAAAGATTGCTCTGGGTATAAAATTAAGGGTTGAGGGAAACAGTGGGCTGTTTGGGGGATAGGCTTATGGGTATTTTTTTTTTTGTCTTCTTCCTACTTTATGTTCTACATTGTCTTCAGTGACCAGTTACTATTTTTAGAAGCAAAATAGGCTTCAAGTAAAACCGTTGTAAAGAAACTCTGTAAACAAGAAGTTCTCAAAAAGACACCTAACGGAGGATGTTTTGTTTTGCAGAAAACTGGTTCCGGTGAAACAGAAATCGAAGTCCTAAGTTTTGTGGAAGAGCCTGAACTTGAGGTGCTGGAAGATTTTGTGTTTTGACAGTCACTGTGGCTTTCTGAAAATGAACTCAATGCTCATATGCCTCAGTGATGAGAAGGGCGAGAACTGCTGTTTCTTGGCTGAGAGGAACTCAGGATTTACTGAACACGATTGAGCTGTGAGGCGATGCAGCTCTTAAAAGCGTGGATGCGTCTCAGAATGTCCTCCCCCACCGGGGTGATTTATCACTCGGGCCGTCCTGCCATGGCTTCTCTCCCCACTCGGTACACGGTGGCACCTCCCCACCTGCCAATCTTTGCGAGTCCCATTATTTACCTGGAACGTTTTTGTGCCAGAGACTGTTTTTAAGGCTCATGTCATCTGTGCTTACGTCTGGCAGTGCCAGTGTGACTGTTGAAGCTGCCAGTGGTAAACCTCAGTTATCATCTCAGGAAGAAAGCACTTTGCACAGGCCTGGAGTGGCCGTGAACTTGGACTCAAGATGGTCTTTCCTATAACACGTGGGAGCCATGGTCCTTTTCTTCCCTGAGTTCTTGAATACTTTTGAGGGATGGAGGGGTGGGGAGAGAGAGGGAGAGGGAGGGAGAGATTATGTCAAGACCCACAGGCACGCTCTAGGTAGCATGGTTTGAGGCAAGCTCATTTAAAAACATGCACTAATATTAATACATCACTCCATACCAACAGAGAAGACAGGATTCAAAGATTGTCTTCTTGAAGGCGGCCTGGATAGCCCGGGAGTATACTGCAAGAGGCACATTGGGTTGTGAAGGGAGCACTGGGTCAAGGATGAACTTCCTGAAGAGACCTTTGCTGGCAAAGCCTCAGAGTAGCTGCTGGGCACCTGGACACCCAGCACTTGGTGGACCCAACCTCTTAGGTTTGGGGAGGTCCTACGGGCCATCCCACCAAACATCCCACCCACACAGGAAGTCCTCCCCTCAATATCCTCCTGTGTGAGTCTGCATCAGGCTGGGGCCTTTGTGATGGGTGATGGGCTGCAGGTAGAACCAAGTACAGGTGTGTCCTGGGCAGAGAGGGCGCAGGAGGAACAGCTGCCCTGCAGGGACTCTAACAGTGCTGCCCGTGCATGGCCCTGGGGCGGGAAGCAGAGGACGGGGGAGGAGGTCACAGTGGTCAGAGCCCCTCCGGGGTGGCATGCTCACATATGCCTTCTGGAGTTGGTTCAGTGCTTGTTGTCCTGGTAACCACCCACGGCAACCAGCCGGGAGGTGCGCCCTGGACCGGAGGTGCCATGCTTATGACCGCTGTCAGTTACTGCTTGTTTGCAAGTGTTATCCACTGACTGTTTGTGTCCCCCCCAAATTCATGTTGAAACTCTACCCCCCAATGTGACTGTATTAGGAGGTGGGGCTTTTGGGGAGGTGATTAGGCCCTGAGGGTGCAGCCCTCAGGAATGGGATCAGTGCTCTTATAAGGGACCCCCGAGAGCTTTCTTTCTATCTGGAGACACGGGAAGTCAGTAGTCCGCAACCAGGAAGGAGGTTCTCACCAGGACACGAGCAGGCTGGCACCCTGATTTTGGACTTCCGGTGTCCAGACTGTGAGAAATAAATCTGCTGTTTCTAAGCTCCTAGCCTGTGGTACTTTGTTACAGCGGCCAGAGCTAAGACACCAAGTGGGAGCAGCCGCGCCAGACACCTCACATGTCACCTCTCATCCCGACAAGACCACATCATCCATATCACAGCCCCGTTTCCCAGACGCAGACACTGAGGCTCAGAGAAACTGTTAGGTAGGGAGTGGCTTCGCGAGGACTTGAGTCACAGGCCCACGGGTGGGCAGCGCCATTGCATGCACGGAGGGCCACCACAGCACAGACCATCAGGCCCCCCCTCAGGGCTGCTGATGGAGCAGGACTGGGGTGGAGTCTGACACCTGCCTTTCTAGCATGCTCCCAGGTGCAGCAGCAGGTGGTTTCCTGACCTCACCTCGATAGCAGCCGCCCTGGGCAATTCTGATGAATCTCAAAATTTAAAAACCACCTGTTTTGGTTGGAAAAGTCCGGCCACAAACAGCGCCCCTTTTTTGGCCTACTGTTCCCTGTCTGATCACTTTCAAACCAGGGCCAGGCCACCTAGGATCGTGGACCCCGCCTCTGCCCAGGAGGCTGTGAGAGGAGCCGTCCCCTGGATCTCAGCAGTCAGCCCTCACCTGGGCACTGAAACGGAACCACCCTCTGGCTCTGGGGACCCATGTGTCAGGGGCAGCACGGAGCCACCGTGGGTCCCCCCGTGGGTCGCCCCATGGATTATGGCTCTCCTGCTCCTCACTGTTTGGCTGTGGGGCTCACACTCAGTTTCTGGGAACCCACATCCACGTCCCCTCCTCCATGAAGCCTTCCGACTCAGGGTCTGGTTGATGCTGCCTGCGGGGTCTTACTCTGGGCCTTGTCCCCTCCTGGAGCCAGTACAGTGGCGGACTGGCCATCTAGTTTGGATGTCTGTCCACTGGACTGTGCCGCAGGGGGACGAGCTCCTGTAAAATCTGTCTTTTAATCTGCGGTGTCTAGGATAGCATGTGACCCTTCGGAAGGACAAATGCTTCTTGGACCCTCTTAACCCTCTGGCACCCTGGCCCAGTTCCTTGATAGAGCTGGAACTGAACCCCCTTTGGCAGAGACTGTCAAGGGCTCGGTGAGTTCACGGACAGGAGAGCAGGGGTCCAATGAGAACATGACTGGAAATCGCCAGGAGCCCCCCCCCGGGCCCGACCCGCTGGCTGGTGCGGCCTGCCTCTCTTTCTGCTGATGAAGTGGCTACGCTGTGACGTGTAAATGGCTGTATGAAAGGAGCTGGGCTTTGGGAGTGGCACGTTTTGAGTGGCCATTAGCCTGGTCCTTCCCTCAACAGTAAATACCCTGTTAGCAGGTCGATTAGACATCAGCTCCCATCTGCCCCCAGGTCAGGGTGGTGAGTCACTTCCCTCCACACAGCCTCTGCAGCCCCACGCTCAGGACACACAGCGGTGCTCCAAGACATCCCTTCCAAGGGGGACTTGAGCCCCATCTCTCACCCGTTGGAATCAGAGTGCGCATGGGCCGGGGTGACGCTGGTGGTGGGGGTGGGGTGGGAGAAAGCACGCCGTGGGAATGGCAGTGAGCTGCGGCTACGATGTCCAGGCTATGAGCAGAGACACCTCAGAGTNCGGGCGTGGCAGGGTAGTTTGCCAACAGCTTAAACACCTGAGCCTCATTGAAATGCCTCAAGGCTTGGAACTACTTCTGCGGGCTGGGGGCTGGGGGAGAAGTCCATGTGGGCAGAGGGCGTCCTGATTACAAATCCAACCGTTTGCATGGTGAGACTTACATGTGTCAGGACCATCTGTTGGTGGAATTAATAAACCTTAGGTGCTAACTGGTTACAGAGAAAGTAGATAGCTGGAAGCGAGAATAGAACTGAAAACTTGGAAGGACTCCCGTAGGTGAGAAACCTAATCAGAACAGGGCTTAGCGTGAGCCTCAGGGCCTTTGTGACAATGACGTAGCTACTCCCGCTTCTACACCCTGCACAGCAAGCTCCAGGGCACAGACTTTTTAAAAACCATTCCTTGTTTTAGAACATTGTGTTGAACTACAGGGCCGTCTTGTTTTCTCACCAGTATCCCTGTTGTAGGTAATAGACGTGAATGTGGTTCAGAATGAGAGATGTTTAATGTAAACGACAGCGAATCGTTTAAGTCTGCAAATCAAACAGGGGCGCCTTCCTCATTCCCCCCCAAACACTCCCCTTCTTGTCACTGTTGTCATTGTCTCTGAGCTCGGACCATTGCAGGAGCCCATCATCTGACCTCCCCACCTCCTTGTTTCCTTTTTATGAAGGATCTATGTGATAATAAAAGGCACATGTGCCCGCGTCTCCCCCATATCCAACACCTGCAAATAGCTCCCCATCACCATCAAGCGAAAGCTCCTTTTAAAATCGAGTCCCCTTTGGCGGCTCCTCAGTAGCCACGTCCCCCAGGAGACCCCTTCTCTTATGAGCACCGTGCCACCCTCCCACCATCTTCCCAGCCTCTGCCGAAGCTTTCTCCAGTGGAAAAAGCCTTTTCAACCTTTTTTCATCTTGTTGACATTTTATCCGCTAAGTCTCGGCTCTTTGCCACCAGGAAGTCCCCCTCTGCGTTCCCCAGGTACCTTCTGGTCTACTTTATCACTTACTATATATCACTTAACACTTTTCTGTCTTATTTAAAGTATAAACACTCAGAGGTCAAGAACAACGTCCTGTCGATCTCTGGGACTTCACCACTGAACGGCAACTGGTTGACCTTAGCCGGACAAAGAGAAAGGCCAGTTTGTTAAATTAACACCAGAAGAGAAAACCGTATTTGCCGTAGGTCTAAAGAACCAAGCTCCAGCAGGCACACACGCTTATGAATGCCATGTGCCGACAGAAGAAACGCAATCACCACCAGGATCAAATAAAAAGTGGGCAGAATTCACAGTGGGTGCGGCTCTCCTCCAGAAACGCCTTCCTGCACCCCAGTGGCCGGCTGTGCCCCCCCCCCCGAGCTGCTGGGGGGTTTATAAGGGGCTGGCCCCACCGCTGGGCTCTGGGCACGTGGGTGGTGGAAGCGATGTTACCTTCCTAGGGGACTCTTTTCACCAAGAAGGTGTCATTAGTTTGCTTCATTTATTCAAATTAAAAGCACCTGCTGGGTGATAAAGCGAAAGAACAGACACCTGGGGGGGGGGGACTTGCTGGAGAGAAATCATCAGGAAAGGGCTGGTGTCAGGTCACAGGTTGGCAGGCTTCCTCTTCAAGGGCTAGGCCTAAGTATTCTCAGCTGTGAGAGCCAGCAGGTCTCTGCGGCCACCATCCGCTTCCGCCATCGAGTGGACCAGGCGGGACAGCAAGGAGTGGCTGCGGTCGGATAAGTCCGTATTTACAGAAAAAAAGGCGACGGCCAGCCCGGTTTGGCCTGTGGGCCAATATTTATCTGCACATAGCTTACTGGATCCAAAATATGCGACATTTGAGTGTTCTGTTCTTTTTTCTTTTTTTTGAAAAGCAACCAAACTGAGAAAATAACCATTATGTTTAATTGAACAAAAGTCAGGGGGAGGTGGTGATGAAAAAATTGTGTTGTGTTTGACTGACCTTAACTTTGTTACAAGTTGGTTTTGCAAGACATGCAGGCCCAGGATTCTGTTGACATGCTCACGGCTCACACTTCCACGTCACCTTCCACCTCAGTGTGTTTCTCTCTCCTGCCGTGGACGAGGAAGGAAGCCTTCATCCTAGTTACCTCAGTTTCCCAGCGCCCAGCACCCGCGCCCGACACATGGTTAGGGCTCAGCACCTTTACCTGTTGACAATTAACTAAAGGAGGAACAGCTGGGCCAGAGCGAATGCCCAGTCCTGTGATCTCAGTACTTGGTTCTGAAGACTGGTCCAAGCTGCATCAGCTAGCCACACAATTTGTTTTTCAACTTGTTGTGCTTTGGTTACGTTCTAGGCAACAAGCCATTCTGATAACCCTTTAAAATATTCCTGGAGC